GAGAGGGGCTGGTGAAGGAGACCAGGACATAGTCCAACTTCTGTAGTGAGTGGATACATCTAACCGAGACGGGGTGTTTGCACTGCAACCAGCTGCTTCCCCACCTTGCCTATCCATGCCTGCTGGCAAAACCGATGCTACAGCATAGGCAAAGGCAGAGCTCACCCTTCGGGGCTGGTCACCACGCAGAGGCAGCACAGTTAAGCGAGCACGCTCACGTTGGGGCAGGAGCAGACCTCTGTACCTGTGCGTCCTGCAGCTTGGCCTCCAGGTCCTGCATGTCCATGTGCTTGTAGCGGTACTTGTTAGCCTTGCACAGGCGGATCCCGTCGATGATGGAGGCATGGTTGAGCTCATCCGACAGCACTGCATCCTCTGGGGTCAGCAAGGCCTGGCAAAGCCATACAGAAAGGATCTTCCTTTGCTCCAGGGCACCACCTCACGGAGATCTTCCAGCCTCTCTCAGTGCAGCAGACAAGGCTGCATTTGATGGCAGCTGCCACGTCTCTTCTGGCACTGCTAAACTTTCCACTTTCTTTCCCAGCCACCTAATCCCACAATTTCCTTAGGCCAGGCTCTTGTCTGTGGCTTCTGAGCTCAAAACCTCCCTCCCCTTCCACAGCAAGCCTGCACAATCACCCCTTCCCCTCACCTACGCTTCAAGGGGGAGTACAGACCTCCCAGGAAATGGGAGCCCTCCCCAAAACCTGGAGCTGGCTGCAGAAGCGGGAGGTCAGGGCTGATTAAACAGCGCCGCACGGCTCCCCCAGTCCACGTGAACCAAGTCAGGGTTCTCCACCACCAGTCACCAGCACCTTCTCTGCGGCTCACATCAGAGCCTCTGGAAGGCACAGCAGGCACGTCGCCATCACCTCCCTCCCCCAAGCACAACACAAGGAAAGCCCTACGAACCTCAAAGATACCAGCGTTGGCATCAAAGCAGCTGGCGTAGAGAATGGCGTCTTCCCGCTGGTGGAAACGTGCGATCTTCTCCTCCAGGTCCTTGTGTATGCTCTGAAGAGAAGAGAGGAGCCAGCGTCACCGGTGGAGCAGCACAAGTCCTCGCTTGCCCACTGCTGTTAAACACTGACTGCAAGGGGTGGGAACAGCCGGGTTTTACCCAGAAAAGGTGTACTTGCGTGGGAGAAGTTAGTTGTGTTCAGAGAGAGTTTGCAAACGCAGACCTAAAACGCTGTTATGGGTTTGGATGCCAAAAGCGCAGCGGGGAGACTCCAACTACCCACCCACAGTGGGGAGCAGCTCCGAGTTTTCTCTGCACGTCACCAGCTAGGGGGCTGAAAGGACTCCAGCGGGGATAAACCGGCATGAGTTTGACAGAGCCATTTCAAGTCAGACTCACGGTAATTTTGACCCTTAAGAGAGCCAAAAAAAGACATTCATTTCCTGAAGTCAGAGGGCTGTTTCGTTTCTTTGCTCTCTGAGGGGTTGTAAGGGTTTAAGTTGGCATATTTCCAGATCCTTGGCTAGCAGGGACTGGGCAGGTGTTTTCTCCACCCGGCCACATGTACACATGCAAGTGCTGAGAGGGGTGTCTGAGCAGAACCCCTGAGAAAGGCCACCCTGGAGCAGGGGATGTTGCCCTGGTACCTGGGTACCGCAGATGAAGCGGACGGAGCTGAGCCCAGCACCGAACTTCTCGAGGGCCTCCACAGCAGCACGGATCACCTCAGGGTGGCTGGAGAGCCCCAGGTAGTTATTGGCACAGAAGTTGAGGATCCCTGCGGGAAGAGACAGAGAGATAGAGAAAAGCACGGGTGTCGCACCGGGGAGGGAGGGGGGGAAAGAGATCGAAAGCCCTCCCCCACCACCCGGTACGCACCGGCTCCACC